ATGAATTTTAGAATCTTTAATTTACTCTTCGTCTGAAAGGATTGCAATAATAAATTTTGTGTGTTAGTTTTCATCTCTTTCCTTTGAATGTTTGATTTTAAAATGTTTATTGCTTTGATTTATGCTGCATTTATCCCACGCTGCCAGATGTGCACAAGCAAGAATACTAAGCCAGAGAGTGCCACTATGGCGTGCCGGTGAAGATCTTCTAGTCCAAATTTTGTGGCGTGCCACTATGTTGTGGGTTAGATTGAATGTGAAAATAAATTACATGTTTGATGGGTAGTGAAGTGGTGAAAAATACGGTGATTGCTTAGTTGTCACCGATTCGCGCTACTTTTTGAAGATAGCTGTTTTAGAAGAGTCTGATCAATAGTGTTTGTATCAAGTCTATATGGTGCTTTAGGATCCAAGCCAAGAATGGTATATTCAATCAAATCACGGTTGCTAACAGGAGAATTAATAGCATTTCGATTTTCAAGAGTCAACCAACAGATTAATTTCGAGTAAAGGGTCAGTTTGATCCTCGAGGTTGCATAAAAGGGGTCAAATAAGTCCTTATATAGAAGGTTCTATCTGGCTATGTCGCCATTTGGGGCGGTTCCCGGTGGAATTTTTTGATGAAATATTTTGATCATCTTATTCATTAACTCTAGTTCACTCATACCAAATTTCAGATAAAAATTCAATCAGGAAGACATTTAAATGAATTCTTGAAGATAACTGTGCAGTTAAAAGTGCAGTTATCTTCAAGAATTCATTTGAATGTCTTCTCGATTGAATTTTTAGCTGAAATTTGGTATGAGTAAACTAGACTTAATGAATAAGATGCTAAAAAAAATATATCAAAAAATTCCACCGGTAAACGTCTCAAATGGCACATCCGGACAGAGTTTTCCATATAAGGACTTATTTGACCCCTTTTATGCAACTTCGAGGACCAAACTGACCCTTTACTCGATTAATTTCCGGGAGGTGTTGATCTATAGACTGCAACTCTTTCCACAGACTAAGCAAGGCAGACAGACATAAACTGGGTCTGAATACACTCCCAAATGCGTGCAGAGAATTCGAGGTCACAACAAATTGTAACCAGAGTTGATTATTTTCGAACAGTCATAAGACTCATAACTCACAACAAAAATCTCAAACATAACCATTCTATCTAATTCATCTAATCAATGAAATCAACTAAGGTCGTGAGGGTGTAAGGAGTATCTATGAAATTGACAAGCTATTCATAAAATATGAAAACATATACTGCGTATGTAAATCAATCAACTAAAGTAAACGGAGAAACAAATAAAATCAAACAAATTCTTTAATGAAAGTGACGATGGCCGCAGCCCTTCGAGGGTCAATCATTTCAATGCCATGAAACCCAACATCGTCAAACCGAGCCTCCACCTTCGCACCATTCATCACCAACATCTGCACAAACTCTTGTTGCCGGTCAATCAAAGTGTCCCCTCCAAATCCGATCACAAGAAACCTCCCCAGCCGCCGCAGCTTCGCCATGCTCGCCTGGTCCACCATCGGGTTGCAGAACCTATGGTCCCGGTCCGACCCCGGTGGAAGTGCCAGCTCCCACAGCACGTCGATCACCGGCAACGGGAAGTACGGGTCCGCCGCCATCTTCAGCTCCGACCGCGTCCGCTTCTTCCCGCCGAACAATGGTTGGTTTAGTATCACCCCGGCTAGGGTTACGCCCTCTAGGTCGAGATCGAGGCAACACAACGCCGCGTTGTATGCAATATTCGCCCCGCAGCTGGACCCGTATAGGTAGCACCGCGAGAAGTCGCCGTAGCGGCGGAGCCACTCGTCTCCGCCGTCGCGGTTCGTGGATTGTTCGTTGACCCATTTGACAGCGTCGATTGCGTCCTCGTACTGCGACGGGAGGCGATGCTCCGGGGCGTTACGGTAGTCGACCGCGACGACGATGGCCGGGACCTGGGCGGAGACCTTGTTGCAGCCCTCGTGGACGATGGAGTTCGCCACGCTGAACGTGATCCAACTGCCGTTCCGAAAATATATTATGATGGGCAGTTTTTCGTTGCCGTCGACCCGCGGCCGGTATATTCTCATCCAAGTTTTCTTTTCTTCGGATAATGTGACGTCCTTGCTGAGGACGGTGTGGCCGGAAGCAGATTCACCGGTCGCCGGAGTTGTCGGGAGGTTGAGGAGGCGGGTGAGGGTTCCGTCTTTGTTGAGGATCACCTTTAGGTGCTCGTAGGGATCGAAGTGTGACATGATTAATTATTAATTGGTAATGAATTTGAGAACGCCTTTTAATTAATATACTCGTGAAAGAAATTAAGACTTTGAAAGCTAAGCAAGCGTCTAGCTAGATGTGAAAAAGTCTATATGCGGCATATAAATAATGAAGACTTTGATGTAAACAATGGCCGGGCATGATAATCGGTTGGTCAAAATGTTTGATACACACAAGATATATGTGGCTAGCTTACGCCACAAATTGTATATAATTGTGGTTAACAATGTAACGATGTGGAAATAAGCTGCCTGCTTTAGCATAGAAAATAAATATTCGTACATAAGAATCGAACCAATAAATGATGTATAGAAAATGTCATTTTTATTTTTTAGAAAGGGAAGAAAGAGTAAAGCCCGAAAGAAAGATGCCCTGTTATATGGTTAATTGGTTTTCTAAAAGTTTTATCTCATGAAGTCATGAATGGAAAATAGAGATGAGCAATTAACGCTATTTAAATAGTACTCCGATCCGTAATAAATATTTTCCGAGCAATTACGATAAAAAAAAAATATTTTCCGCACAATTACGCTAGTCAACTTGAGGGTGGTAATAGCTAGTTTATTGAGTTCCATTTTAGAAGCTTAGATTGATAGATATTCTTGTAGCAAAACCACTACTACTACATTATTATTTCGAATCCAATCCCACAGTCGCACCATTTTTATCCGGACTCATGCTGAAAAGGGTTCTCGTCCCGCCGATTTTTGTGCAACTTTCCTTCCTTCGATAGTTCGTGCGACTTTTCTTCTATACACCTCTAGAGTAGTAGAGTGCAATGGATTCAGATTGTTGGTTCTTTGAATTAGGGATTTGGCTTTTGGAAACGAAACAAAAGGTTCAAGAAAAGGATATTAGTAGGAGGGCGAAGGGTTGGTTTTTGGCCGATCAATATGGGTGGAGGTAGTGGTGGAGGCGACATGGGCGACGAGCAAACAAGGAGCGGTGAAGGACTAAGTACGGAAGAAGACATATCGGCAGTCCGCCCACCACCTGAACCGCCGCCTTGGATCAACTGAGGTGTCAATGTTCGGAAGATGATATCAGGGGTCCTTAGCTCATTCACCGAGGCTTACAAGAAAATTAGTTGGGGGTTTGGAGTATTTATCATTTTCATCATTTTCATTTACCCCCTTACGGTGGGGTAGGGGCGGTCGGATGTACACAGTCTTACCCATGTACTAAAATACGGAGAGACTATTTCCGGATGACCCATAGTGAAAATCGAGTCCAAAATTGCATGGACTGACTGCTGCTTCATAACAAAGAAGCATAGACAGTTTAGTGAGTCATTTTGCTTTATTCCATCATACTCTCAAGCCAAAAAAATAATGAATCTTTGGCTCCATTGCAAATGATGGAAAAGTTTGGAGTATTTATAAGTTACTTTATTTTTTATGATTTTATTTTCTCGTTATATTTGTTTACGTTGCTCTGTTTTTTGTTACCGTCTTTCGTTTTAAGTCCACACTAATGATTGGCAATTCTGCTAGGTATTATGTCGTTATAAAGATTTATATGACCATTGATTGTTGTGTCACATGCGTTGATGACTAGCGATTCATATTACTCTTTCAGAGGTGATCGTTTATAAACTTAGTCGTATGGTACGGTTGATTAGTTTATAAACTTAGTCGTATGGTTGATTATGCATCTTTGTTGTCAGTGTTGGTCTCTTTGAATTTATGGTAACTATTCGAATCTTAATTATATGAATTTAAACAGTTTTTTCTTTCAAAAAAATAGTACCCGTAATAGATCCAGGTTAGAAACTATCTACATGCTTGGCAACAATTGCCAATTGGGACGGGGACTTTCTAGCTTTGAAAACCCCGTACGCTGGTGATCGAATAAATATTCACAACTTAGACTAAAAAAACAAGCAATTGTTGAGTAGCTAACGACTTTTTAAATTCATCTCGAGTTTGGTTGAAAGAAGTAAAACAACGGAACAATCTATGTACGTCAATGTTGCTTCGTGGAATATATCATTCTCATTTCTCAACAAGGCAATAGCCGACTTAAGCTTAGTTTGCAACTGCTTTTAAAAAAGCACTTCTCAGTTTTTGGCTTTAAAAAAGCACTTATTTTCCCAAACACTACAACTTTTACTTTTCTCGGCTTCCGCGTCAAAAGTGCTTTTACTTTTTCTATTACACAAAAAGCACTTATTTTACCAAACACTACCCACTTTTACTTTTCAAAATCACTTTTTTCTCAAACACTATCAACTTTTATTTAATCGCTTCTCCCCATTTCATTTAAAAAAGCACTTTTTTAAAAGCAGAAGCTATTGCAAACAGACCCTTACTATGTCACAGAACAAAAATACGGCTTGGCAACTAGCTAGCTAGGAGCCTAAGACCTCTAAATTAGCAAAAAGACAAAGCAACCATTGTATTTCACCAAAAGATGGAACTTATGGAAGAGTGATGGCTAATGAGGGGTATTTGGTCTAAAAAAGAACGCCAAACTCATGATATCTTAAATAGCTAAGATATCATGGTGACCTCTTTAAATACGCAAGACATTTTGTGCAGCTATAGATTGACATATGAGCATTTGTGATTTGTCATATGTATGGACATTTGTGACGAAAATGAGGAACCCTTTTGGGCTAAATGTTGTAAACAAAAAGAATCCAAAATACTACTAGCTTATAATAAGAAATGTTGTACTCAAGTTATATTTTGCACCATAAAGAACAATCATACCATAGGGTGAAAGATTTGAGAGAAGAAATAATGTATATTCACACTTAACATTTGAAGTATACAAGAGTATATATAGGAGTACAAATAAGGAGATAAGAGCTATCTAACTAACTATGAGATAATTACATAAATGTTTATTAAGTACAAATATTAATATTATTATGATTTATCTCCAATATGCCCCCGCAAGTTGGAGGGTCTGGGAAGAACTCCAATCTTGAGATGAAGATCATGAAACCGGCGCCGCGGAAGAGGTTTAGTTAGAGAATCAGCTAATTGATCTTCAGAGCGAACATGAGAAACCCGAAAAATACCATTTTGAACATGTTCACGAATGAAGTGATAGTCTAATGCAAGATGCTTCATACGAGAGTGAAACACAGGATTAGCACACAAATGTGTAGCACCCACATTGTCACAGTAGATAGCGGGCTGAGTAGGAATGACAACATGGAGCTCGGTCAGAAGAGATAAAATCCAGCGTAGTTCGGCGGCAGTAGTAGCAACAGAGCGGTACTCGGCCTCTGTAGAGGACCAAGCCACCGTGCGTTGCTTGCGTGAACTCCATGAGATAGCATTAGGACCAAGAAAAATAACAAAAGCCCCGGTAGAAGTGTAATCATCAGGATTGCCAGCCCAGTCAGCATCAGAATAGGCATGCAATGATAGTGCAGAAGAACGGCGTAGGAGAAGACCATGGTCGGTCGTGTGACGGAGGTAACGTAACACGCGTTTTACAGCTTCCCAATGATCAGTCGTAGGCCGATGAAGAAATTGAGATAATTTGTTAATAGCATAAGATAAGTCAGGCCGCGTAAGAGCTAAATATTGTAGACTGCCGACCACGGATCGATATTCTTCTGGGTCTGCAAGTGGCTTGCCCGAATTAATGCTAAGCTTGGAAGTAGAAGCAAGGGGAGTAGTCACACCATTGCATGACGTCATCTTTGTCCGAGATAGAAGATCCAAAATATATCGTCGTTGAGAAAGAAGAATACCATGAGGATGAGATATAACTTCAATGCCAAGAAAAAATGAGAGAGCACCCAAATCTTTAAGAGAGAATCGGCGGCCAAGATTAACTATTAAGTCCTCAACAAAGGCCGTGGAGCTACCTGTAATAACTATGTCATCGACATAGACTAGGATATAAATAATATGATTGGCATGATGATAAACAAAGAGGGAGGTATCGGCTTTGGAATTAATAAATCCAAGCTGAAGAAGAAAATTCTTGAGTTCTTGATACCATGCCCGTGGAGCCTGTTTAAGCCCATATAGAACTTTGTGGAGCCGGCAGATATGAGTAGGCTTGGTAGGATCAACAAACCCGGGGGGCTGAAGCATATAAACATCATCATATAGATGTCCCTGCAAAAAGGCATTATTAACATCAATTTGGCGAAGAGGCCAGCCGCGACTGACGGCTAGAGATAAAACCAGCCGAATTGTTGTGGGCTTAATAACGGGACTGAAAGTCTCTGTATAATCCACTCCGGGTCGCTGGTGAAAGCCTTTAGCAACCAATCGGGCCTTGTACCTGTCGATAGTACCATTAGACAACCGTTTAGTACGGAAGACCCATTTACAGCCGACTATATTTTCCTGACCAGTACGAGAAACCAACGTCCAAGTGCCATTTTTTATAAGAGCATTGAACTCTTCGGACATAGCATGACGCCAATTTGGGTCAGATAGGGCTTCCTTAACAGTACAGGGTTCAGGCGACACGGAAGAAACAGTAGAGTTGAGATTGAGTTTATGAATGGGACGATGAATATTATTCATAGACCGAGTAATTATGCGACGTGGGGGAGATTCAACAGGAATAATATTTTGTGATGAGGGGGACGTAGTATGGGAGGAGGGAGGAGACTGCATGGACGTGTTATTACGTTGCATGTGAGATGCATGCATGGGAGAATTGTTTGGACTTTCTGACTCGGTGGAGAATTGAGAATCATTGTTATTGGTGGGGTTGGGGTTATTAGCCGGATAGGTAGGAGAATTATTTGAATGGTCAGAAGGATTGTTTTGATGTTGGAGAGGTGTGGTGGGGCGGGAATTATGGAGAGGTGGGGGGATAATGCATGGATATTATTATCATTAGTTTCAGGGGATAATTCATGGATATTATTATCTTTATATAATATAAAGTAACAGTCGCTGCACTACAACTGGAGGGAAAAATCCCGCCCAAATTAGGGGCATAATGGGAAACTAATGTACAAAAATCGAAACCCCGCCTGTTACTTTGGTAAGATACTTTAGTCGTCGCTATGCAGACACGTTGTAACTTTGGTAAGATTAGTTCATCTTATTAAAATGGTAAGTTATTTAATAATGATAATTTATTATTAAAATGGGAAGATGGTAACAAATTTAAACATGGAAGTATATGACCAGTAAAATAACGCTCATTATTAGCCGATCCACATGCAAGTTACTCCGTATTACTTTAGCAAGATTCGTTGTTATTATTAAAAATCATAAGCTATTTAATAATGAATATATGGTTAGTATAGAACACCTATGCAGCTATAATAACACATGTCGTGTATATAAAATAAGATGGCTACAAAGCAAATTAAGATATGCCTAGAATAGATAAAAAAAATACACAAACCATATTACTGATAGCACACGTACCACTACTATTGCTCCAAAAAAAATACATACGAGTATCATCTTGCTCCAAAAACACCTATGGAGCTATAGTATACGTAACACATGACATGTGTATATAATTTCTATTAACATGTTAAATTTTCACTAAAAAAGTTTAAATTACAATAATTCTGAAATTCAAGAAACATGCTATATATTTACTTAACGACCTTTTATACTTCATATATAAATAGTCGCGCATTTATTAAGTTCATTTTTAAAAAATGGGTACCAGAATTTTATTGCATGTATATAGTAGCTAGGACCAATATATAATTTTATGTCTACCATGCAAGTCAAAAATGTCGATCTCGATGATTTTTAATCCAGAAGCATCGAATGTAGGGTTTGTGTACGTGTGATCCAGTGGTGACAAGTTACGAAATACGAGCGAGCCTCAAGATGATTTTACTAGATAGAAGGTAATTTCAATTGTATTTCGAAATTTACCTTCTCAATTAAAGTTTTTGTGATTTTATACTTTGTTTAATTTAAACATATTTTTCATGTTTAAGTGTAAATATATTGTAATTAAATAATTACTTTTTTCGAATTTAATTTACTAAATACGTTTTCATAATAAATAATTTCATATTTATCTAAACTGTATTTTTTAATGAATAAAGCTTTTTGGTAAAGCAGAAGGCAATTTCGGTGCTTTTCAAAATATAGCTACATAATTGAATAGTGTTTAGTCCAAACTGTTTTAGTAAGTACATCCTCATAGTTAAATAATAATTTTGAAAATAGAAAAAACAATATTTCCATAATAGTTTGTGCTAAATTATGAATAGGCAATGTTAAACTTGATTTAATTTAAATAGTCTGTTTAAGTTGATACACTGTAGGATGTACATTGTGGGCAGATCTGGCGGACTACACGTGACATTATCTGAATAGTGAGCATAATGAGGGGCCAATTTTTTTTATTTTAGAAGTTTGCCCGACAAGGATGTTCAATGGTCCATTTATTAATTTAGTTTTTGTAATGTTATAATAACATATTCAATGAGTTCTAATGTTTTCAATTTAATTTCCATAATTTTTAAAATAGCAAAAAGCTATTTTGAGACTCACACGTGATGTTGTAGACGGTATCAATAATTATATGATCTTATTAATGTCTGGAAAAATGAAGACATATTTAAATTTTGAATCTCATGCTAACTTGAAGGCAACATTTAATTCATTGAAGTGCATACTTAAAAGTTTTTTAACATGACCAATGCGTCAGAGTTACCGGCCTAATCATAAATTGGAGCTAAAAGTCAGTGTCCTTAATATGTAATGATCGAGAAGTGGACTGGAGATTATTATATGTGATGACGAAGGTCATGCTATCAATACCACTAATAATGTGATTTATAAAGAATTTTTGTTAAGTATAAACATTTATGATTCTTTTGTTTATAGTTTTATGAGACTTATTAATAATTATATGGTATATTATAATTATGATGTTTTTATCAAGAATTATTTCAGTCTCACACTAAACAAGGCCCCCGACCAAATTGTATCATACCAGACCTAAACGGACTAGACTAGAACAGACCATGCTTCAACAGTTATAAAATACACAAAGACTAGCCATTTATTAGACCAAACCAGTTCAGACTTTAAAAGACCAGACAAGACCAGATCAGAAAAGGTCCATTTTAAGTAAAAACATTCTTAATTCCATTATTATCACACAAAATTTAATTTAATGTTACACCTTAACATTTATTTTACTTGCAATTGTCATGCAAACCAAATTAATTAACTTTTCTTACAATTACTATTTTATAATGAAATCTACAACATATAAACTATATTTTCTTTTTATTGACATATAACTACAATACATATAATTATAATAAAATGTTAGAGAGAATTCCCTAAATAGGAGTAAAAATGTTTTGAAATTCCAAAACAGGAATATCATGTTTTTTATTCTCTCAGTAGGAGTAAATTTCTGCCAAGTTTGAAATTATTAGGCTTTAAACATGACATTTTCTTCCAAACTTGGCAGATTACTCCCATTCAAGGAATAAAAACATGATACTCCTATTTCAAAATTTCAAACGTTTTTACTCATATTTAGAGCAATTTCTGAAAATGTTATTATATTCTTGATACCCCGTGCATCGCACGTGTACTTTGTCTAGTTATTATTAATGGGAGGGGATAATTCACGGGGTGTTTGGGATTGGAGTGTTGACCGAGGGGGAGTAGGAGATAGGTTTGAGTGAGGAGAATTTGGAGGGGAGCGGGTAGAGGAGCTGTTGCCGAGTGGGTAGGAGTTTGAATTTAAAATTCAGTGAGGTGGGTTCCAGGGTGTAATTTGAGTGGGTGGAGATTGGGATAGGGAAATATGTGTTCAACAAATGTGACATGTCGAGACACATAAATACGGGTTTTAATAGGATCAAAACAAAAATATGCACTTTGACTGAGAGAGTAACCCAGAAAAATGCACAGAGTTGATCGGGATTGTAGTTTATGTTGGGTATATGGCCGAATCCAGGGATAGCAAAGACACCCAAAAATTCGAAGTTTTTGATAATTTGGGGGTGAGTTATGAAGGTATTCATAAGGAGAGAAAAAATTAAGTGTAGGTGTGGGGAGTCGATTGATAAGATAGACAGCTGTAGGGAGAGCATAGGACCAGTATTCGGGGGGGTAGGGAGGCTTGGTGAAGAAGAGTAAGACCAGTTTCAATAATATGTCGATGGCGACGTTCAGCATAGCCATTGTGTTCAGGAGTGTGAGGGGGGCCGGGGGTAAGGTGAGATATACCAGTTTGGGTGAGATATGGGGTAAGAGCTTTAAATTCTCCACCATTGTCAGAAAAGAAATTTTTTATTTTGAGTCCAAACTTATTTTCAACCAGTGGACGAAAAACTTTAAAAATGGAACTGACATCTGATTTTTTCTTTAGAGGATAAAACCAGATATATTTAGTGTAATGGTCAACAAAAATGACATAATATTTAAACTGATCAAATGAGACAACAGGAGAAGTCCAAACATCAGAAAAAATTATTTCTAACGGTTGGGAGGATTTTATTGAAGATGAATTAAATGGGAGTTTGTGACTTTTATTACATTTACAGGAGTCACAATTAAATTCCGAAGGAGAAATACAATTTATTGCTACGGGAAATTTAGATAACATATGACGAAAAATGGCTGGAGATGGATGACCAAGACGGGAGTGCCATTGTTGAGATGACACGGTAAGACTTGAATAAGCACGAACTGGGGACGTAGGCCATTCATATAGTCCGTTGTTAGCCCGACCGTGCAGGAGGGGTGCCCCCGTGAGTAGATCCTTAACACAAAAAGAAGACGGTGAGAACTCAACAGAGGCATTATTTTGTGAACAAAATTGAGACACAGAAATAAGATTTTTATGAATATCGGGAACACACAAAAGATTTTTTAAGTGAAAAGAACGAGTGGGAGAAGACAGTTTGCCTGAACCCGTAAAAGTTATAGGTAGACCACTACCGTTGCCAACAATGACTTCATCTGTGCCCGAATAAGGGACATGCATGGATAAATTATCAAGGTCCGAGGTGAGATGATGGGTGGCCCCGCTGTCAAAAATCCATGGAGATGAAGGAGCCGGACCAAGTAAGCCACTGCCCGTAACATTGTGAGCCTGAGGGGACTGCCAGGCAGGGCGTGGTGCGGACTGCCAAGGAGAAGCAGCTTCTCGTGGGGGCCAGGGAGCAGAAGATTGTGGCCAGCCAGTTTGAGGAGATGCCGAGGCAGAAGTTAGCCGGAATAGAGGGCAGTTCCGTGCAGTGTGTCCCTGAGTCCGGCATGCCTGACAGGTGCCAAGATATGGTTTGGAGGGCGCACCAGATGAGGGATTCCGGCCCGAGGGAGAGCCACGACCATTAGAGAAATTGTGACGTCCACCACGTCCACGTGATCCAGAAGATGAGGGCCCGCGAGCAACATTGGCGGTGACAGGAATAGGAGAAGATTCAGACGGGTTTGTATCCTTCATCAAGACCATCAAGGATAGCTTCAATGAAGTCCTCATGATCCAAAGGTTTCCCAAGAAGTGCTAATTCATCGGCAGCGTTTTTGATAAAATGCATGTATTCGGTAATAGTCTTGGAACCTTTGGAGTATTTTTTGAGTTGAGACTTGAGTTGTTTGATATGACCTCGGGAGGGTTGAGCGTATACAGAAGAAAGAGTATTCCATGCATCCTTGGTAGTGTTGGCACGTGTGATGAGAGAAACAACAGAAGATGTGAGGGTGCCAATAATAGCGCCGAAAAGGAGTTTATCCTGACGAATCCAAGAGACATG